GAGGTGTCTTGCAGAGAACCCTGGGTTTCATCTTGTCAACATCGGAGCATCGATCCAGATCGGCAGAAGCCCAGCTCCACCCCTCCCCCATTTAACTCACCTGGCCAGTGAAGTTAAGGGGAGCAACTCGGTAACAACAGCAAGACGGAGTGTGTTTGTGTGTATGTGAGTGCATGTGTGAGATATATCATATGCATATGATAGTGTTGATTATTACATGTAGTACTAATAAATGTGGCATTTTGCCTTATTTCCCCTGAAAAGATCCTGTACAGTACTTTAAGTACAATACAATAACAAAAATTAAAATACTGAAAATGGATGCCCCCCTCCAGCCACCGACTCGCCGCTCGCCTCCTCACCCCCGCCCCCACGTATAAAGCCTCGCCGCCACTGCCCGCCCGCTCGGCTCGTCATCCGCACCCAGCTTGCCTCCTCAGTCCCCTTCCCCCGCTCGCCTCCCCAGCTCCCCTCCCCCGCCGCCGGCTCACCTGCCCCCCCCCGCCACTGGCCTCTTCACCACCCCACCCGCTGGCCAGCCAGCCGGCCATTGGCTTGTCCCACCCCCTGCCGGCCGCACAGTGAGCGGCCACATGCAGCCCGGAGGCCATATGTTGGGCAGGCCTGACATAGATGGATAGATAGACTATTTTTTAAAAATCCAGAACAAAACGTTCCACTGCACACACAAACCTTCAGTTTTATGAATGAGCCGTGAGGTAGCACTTACTGTACAACAGTGTGTCCACGTGCCTGTGTCAGTGCATGTATGTACACGTGTGTCTATGTGCATGTGTGTAAACACACACCTTTATTTTGGGGCGCTCCCTTTTCCATCACACACTGACAATACGGTTTGCATTTCACAGCCCAGCACATAAAGCGCAGCCTCCTCCTATTTGGTGGTTACAGTATCGCCAACCCTTTATGTTCAAAATTCATGAGTCAGACTCACCAAAGAGTATGAGATTGGCTTTACAATCATGAAATTATGTAAAAACAATGGCTGCAGTGTTCTTTTTATTTGCCTTTTGACCCTTTAGGGTGCCCTGGAGTCACATTTTGAAGCTTCCTCCACAGCCACCGGGGTAGAAACTTACTTTTTGTTGCAGAACAAAGGCTGAAATCCTCACAGCGCCACTGGACTCTGGGAGCTGGAGCTTGAAGGGAAACAATAATGATCAGGAGACTCATAACCAGAATCACGAGAGTTCGCGCCACGGTAGTTAAATGGAGGGGTCCCCAAAAGAGGCCGAGAGGAAACGGGGGAAAATCCAACAGGGGCCTGCTGAGCTGGAGGTTGCACCAGGGCAGCCTGGCCCGGCCCTGGGGGACATGCGCTGAAGGCTCCCACACAGCCCCGGGGTGCAGCCGTGCGAACAGCGGGTCCCACTCACCCCAGCAGCGATCCCGCGCCCTAGGACGCCTGCCCACGTGCTGCCCCTACTGCACATGCGCACTGCGCAGCCGGGCTGCGGGGCACCAAGTTAGAACGCGCGTAGCAGGTCAGATTTCTTATTGGTGCGTCGCGGCGCGCGCATGCGTGTCAGGGATTACACACACACCCCGCTTCGCATTCTGCGCGGGGCGGTGTGTCCTCGCCGAGGTGCCGTCTCCTTCCGGAATCCGAACCCGGGGCGGCCCGGAAGCGGACGCGGCGGAGAGGCCGCGTGCGTGCGTGAGGAGACGGATGATGGCGGCCCGGGGCTCCGGGAGGCGGGGAGCCGGGTCTGGAGGGAGCCGGGGGCCGGACCCGCAGGAGGAGCCGCCCCCGCCGCTGCAGGCTGTGCTGGTCGCGGACAGCTTCAATCGCCGCTTCTTCCCCGTCTCCAAGGACCGGCCCCGGGTGAGAGAAACCGTCCAGGACCCCTTCCCGCCTCAGCCGGAGAGACCGGGGCCGGCCGGGACCCCTCCCCCCGCCGGAGAGACCGGGGCCCCTCCCCCAGCTGGAGAGCCCGGGCCCCGCCCCGGGGGAAGGGCAGATCGGCTGTTGCCCCTCCTGAGAACCGAGAGGAGGCAGGATCTCCCACCCCCTCCCGGGATCTAGCCCACATTTCACCTCTGATTTCCCTTCCAACTCTGCTACCGCAGCCAGTTCGGTCCTGTGGGAAAAACCATCCCGAACCCCCCGAAAGCTGCGGAGGAAGGAGACAGCCCTGGAGAGCTCTGAGCCCCAGGGAGCTGCAGGGGATCCGAGGGCGGGACTCATGGGATCTGTTCCTGGCGCTTTCCTCACTTCACTGTGGAACCTGGCCCAGGTCTCTTCTGCAATCCCAGCCGCAACTTCCCCGTCTGTAAAATGGAGGGATAATTGTACTGATATACCCAGGGGGAAGGATAGGGAGTATTCCTAAAGCTCTTTGAGAACAATTTGAGAGAGACTTGTTTGTGGTAGTCTCTGGGAACAGCATGTGATGGGCGGGGAGAGATGCTGATTTGTTACATGCAAGTATAAAGCACTCACTATTCTCCAATATGGTTGTTTCTTAGGGTTTGTCTAAACTGGCACTTCACAGCGCTGCAACTTTCTCACTCGGGGTGTGAAAAGACAGCCCTCTGAGCGCAGCAAGTTTCAGCGCTGTACAGCGCCAGTGTAGACAGTGCACCAGAGCTGGGCGCTACGCCCCTCGTGGAGATGGTTTTTTAGAGCGCTGCACCGCAACCACACAAGCCACATTAAAGCGCTGCTGCGTTGCCAGTGTAGACTAGCCCTTACATACCTTAGTTCAAGAGAATATGTTTCCAGAACAGGGAACACTCATTCTGATAGCAATCTAACTGGCTTTTATAGAAGAACAAGAAATTGGTAGTTTACCAGCGAAGGACTAATTGCCACTGTGACTTAATAAAATAGCTGAATAAAGAGATTTTGCATCATGTGCTGAAAGTGTCCAGGCTCATACAGAGTTCTGGAAAGGCCCTGCTATGCAAAGCATGCTATTACCATCTCCCATGTGACCCTCCTGGTGCAGTGACGGGTCTTGGCGGCGAAAGCTGCCGTGACATTTTCCAACAAGAAAATATTTTTTAGAGTCCCGTTGGAACCTATGGGAGACAATTTTAGTTTATTGAAGTTTAATTTATCAAAAAGAAGACTGAGAGGCGTTTTGATTACAGCATGTAAGCACGTTCATAGGTCTCTTTCATGTAGCATCGAGAAGCAGAAGAAGAACCTATGGCTGGAAGTTGAAGTTGGAGAAATAAAAATGAGAAATAAAGCACACATTAACAGTGAGGGTGATAAACTATTGGAACAAACTGCCACGGGAACTGGGTAGCTTCTCTGTCTCTTGATGTCTTAAAATCAAGACTGGATCCCTTTTTGGAAGACATGCTTTGGCCATACACGAGTTATTGGGCTCAATACAGGGGTTACTGGATTAAAAGTATCTTGCTTTATATTGGGTGAATCTGTGAATTTCTTTTTAAATTATTATCTAAGGATTTTAGTATATTAAGAAGCAAAGTACCCAAATACAGCAAGAAACTGCTGGAGAGGCAAGAAACCTGTAAAGCACACACACGTGTATAATATCTTGTAAGATCAGTTTATGATGAATGGAGGGGGCTTTCAAATGAGGCAATCTAAGGGGAGTCCAATGGTTAATGTGACTGATGCCACGTTGCACCCCCTTTTTCCAGATCAATAAGCACACCTTTTAACTCTGAAAGAGAAAGGAGAGTGATGGGGGTGAAGGATTTCACTACATTAATTTCTGAATTGTTGAAAGGAGAGTGGATGAAGAATGGAAAACTGAGCTCTGAAACTATTTTGAATAGTCTTATTTGTATTACAGTAGCATGCTGAGGCCTCAGTTATAGCACAATTCCCATTGTGCTAGGTACTGTACAAATATAAAACAAAATATTCCCTGCCTCAAAGCGCTTATAATCTAACTAGAGACAAGACATGACAAATTGGTAGAACACAGTGTGGAGAGGGAGAAGACAAGGGTGACAGTAATAGCTACTAGATACAACATGTTCTAAGTGCACAATTTGGAGTGAATATTTTCAAATGCAGTAACAGCAGCTGTTTGTTTTCTTATCTTGTGCTGCCTCTCCTGGGTGTGAATGAAAGATAGTGCTTAATTTGAGGGAACTATGTTGCCCATAAATGTTCCTGTAGCACTCTTGCAGTCTAGACACTAGTAAATCATAAATAGGGGGAGTGTGTGAAAAGATTTTGACTCTAAATAGTGTATACATACCAGCTATTCCTGTGGGAATGTTTTGGGTTTTTTCACCCCCACAATGAGGAAAAATAAACCAGAAATCCAAACAACCACAGTTATAACACTGGGGACTAGAGAGCATTATAGTACTGTTTGCTTTTCATTTGCCAGTGCTGATGTAGGAACTGCAGCTGCCTCTCTCAAGGGAGGGACAAATGCTTTTGTGGTAGATGGGGAAGAGGCTAAGCCACTGCCCAGAGCGGCAGCAATGTTTCCCATGAAATCACCAGCAAATGAGAAAAGAGAGTACTTGAATTGCCAAAATCTTAAGGCTCTGGTGGTATAGGAGACAGCAATACCTCTGGAGTTAGGGGTGAACAATTATCCTCTTTCATTGGCTGATTAAATATTCATGGCAATCATGATTACAAGATTCATATTTGTCCACTCGCTGAGAGCCAGAAGGGAACAATTTTGAATCTCACTGTCAGAAAAAAATGCTTTTTGAAAATGACGGATACAAAAAAATTCACAAGTGATCCTTCAGTTGTAAATTACCTTCAAGAAGACACTTGAATCTCCAGTTGATGGAACGTATTGACATTACCTGCATAAGTGTTCTGTGATTTAAAAAACAACAACTTTTTTTTATTTATTTTGTTCCTGTGGCTTCATCCCTCATGTCTGGCATTTGTTTTCTAATGGTTAGAGCATGAGACAAGGAGTCATGATTGTATTACTCCAACACCGCTGAGTCTCCTTTCCTGCAGCTGGCCTGTTGCTGACCTTGATTGATGTATAGTGTTGGTTCAACTAACTCTGTCCTGTTTCCCTAGGTTCTCCTTCCTCTGGCAAACGTGGCCATGATTGACTACACCCTGGAGTTCCTAACTGCAACTGGAGTGGAAGAAACCTTTGTCTTCTGCTGCTGGAAGTCGGCTGAGATAAAGGAGCATTTACAGTAAGGAACACCTCATCTTCCTTTAAAAACGAGTCCAGTGGCATGCGTCTGAAGAAGTGAGGTTTTTTAACCCATGGAAGCTTATGCCCAAATAAATCTGTTAGTCTTTAAGGTGCCACCAGACTCCTTGTTGTTTTTGTGGATACAGACTAACACGGCTACCCCCTGATACTCCTCTTCCTGTGGGACTCACTGTAAAGGAATGTTTTCCAAGATCTTATATCACGGTGACTCTTGGCTAATGAAAGCTGGATGCTACGCCCATTATTGTCCCAAGGGGATAATTTGAGCAATGTCTCTACCAGGTTCTGCTGGTCCTGGGAGCATACTCGCTGCATATCCTTATTTACCAACTGTTGCTAATAGCTGAGAATACAGCAAGGTAAATAACACGTGAAGAGAGCAAAAAGAACAGGAGTATTTGTGACACCTTAGAGACTAACAAATTTATTTCAGCATAAGCTTTCGTGGGCTACAGCCCGCTTCTTCAGATGCATAGCGTGGAGAGAGAACATTTCTTCCATTGGAAAGCAGAATGGGGGTAGCACTGTAAGTGGGCTATGTCTGTCTGAGGATTTCATATATGATGGTCTTGACTGTCTTCTTTTTTCGTATTTAAAGGCAGAGCTTTCCTGGTTAGATATTTAATAACACTGTGTACCTGATGTTCCTTAAACTACTGGCTTTCACTGAGGAGTCCTGGGCCTTGCTCTGTAACACTTTTAAGTGCACTTGGCAGGCTGGGGTCAGCTCTCTGCTACGTGTTCTGTAATCTGTAAACTCGTGTGCTAAAGAGGAGTATACAGCCTCATCTCTTCCCTGCTTCAGCTGTTGCCTACAGGTTAAAACTCTTCTCTTTGGTTTTGCATGAATACTTGATATCTTTCCCCTTCTTTCATGAATCTCCACACAAGATCTTGCCCACGAGGAAGTCAGCGTCCTCTAAGCTATCGTCTCGGAGCATTACCCTCTTTTGTCTGTGTTATAGAAATAACTATGCTTAAATGTGACAGTGGGCCAGCCATCATAACATGGTTGCTTTTTACATGTGTGGACAGACAACCCCCCACACTGGAGCACCATGTTCTAGCCTAAGCTAGAAGATCACCCTTTTTATTCCTTCTGGCCTGTTTTCTTCCCCTCCAGTAAGTCCAAGTGGTGCCGCCGCACCTCTTCCAACAAGGTGCGCATTGTGACCTCAGACCTGTACCGCTCACTTGGTGATGTGCTAAGGGACGTCGATGCCAAGTCCTTAGTCCGCTCTGACTTTCTTCTCGTCTCTGGAGATGTGGTGTCCAACATCAATGTTTCTGCAGCTCTGGAGGAGCACAGGTGGGTGACTGGGGAGAAGGCACACCGCTTGTTCAAGCTCATTGGTGTCGCTTTTTCCAGAGGCATTGTTTAAAACGCTTCCTTTCCTGTTTAGGATGCGCCGTAAGCTGGACAAGAACGTGTCTGTGATGACGATGATTTTCAAAGAGTCCTCACCAGGTCACCGTGCTCGGTGCCAGGAGGATGACATCATCCTTGCTATGGACAGCACTACGAACCGCGTCCTGCACTACCAAAGAACCCAGGAGCTGAAGCGCTTTCGCTTTCCCGTGGTACGTGCAGAGTGTGTGGCAGGTGGAAAGTTGCTAATGCGGTCAAGCAACTCACTCCAAAGTAAAACTCTCTCTTGAGTCCAGGTTGGGGAGAGTGGCGCTTACAGCTCCCTCTGAAGAAGAGATGACGGGAAGTAGCTTTTGAAGCTGACCCCTGTGGCATGGTACAGCCGTGCAGGCATGTGCTCTGAAGTTCCCTCAAGTTTTTGAGAATGGGGGATAGGTTCCCACCATCCCCAACAGGGTTAAAACAGACTAAGTAGGCTTCTTTTTCTCTAAATTCAGTTTTACTGGTATAAATTAGTTCATGTAACTTCTGTACTCGGGATTCTGTATGTGTAACAAAGGATGGGACATGATTCAGGCTGTTCTCTGGCAGCCAATGAAGTGACTATCAATCCTGGCATTTGGAAAGGTGTGATACTGCTTCTGTCATCATCTGTCTCATGGAAAGATTTTTCTATGTGGGAATACTGCTGGGTTGAAATCTTTCCTGGTTGGCATACAGTATTGTGTGAGACCATTTTGCATACGTTAAGCACAGTTGCTCTGTGTGTTGTGTACTTTGCCCGTATCTCGTGACTTGTGGTGTGTCCTCCAGATTTCCAACCAATTGAAGTGTATTCTTAGTATGTTGTCCTCAGCTGCTGCAGTGTTGTTCTGGATTGACTCCCACATGAGAAACACTCAATCTGTACTGTGTTCTCTTCTCTTTCCAGAGCTTGTTCCAAAGCAATATTGAGACAGTTGAGGTGCGCCATGACTTGCTAGACTGCCATATCAGCATCTGCTCCCCACAGGTGAGTTCCTGTAGTTCTGGAGGGCTGAAGTGTTCTGAATAGCTGATTTGTGCTGCTGACATGGTAGAAACACACTGCACTGCTACAGCATAGAGTGGATTCCAGAGCCCTGGTCCCATTCCTTGCTACTTTGCATGGAGCATGTCACGGACACAGGAGTATGATACTTTCTTGGGCTGCCCCAGCACGCTCAGCTTCTGGTGTCTGTTGCTGAGAAAACAGGTCCAACAGGAAGCGCCTGTGTATGTGTCCATGTCTGAGATGAATGGAGGAACTAGTCCAAGATAGCGGAGATGGCACCTCTGGGGGTAGGGGACCAAGTGAAGTGTCAGTTCTTGCTGGCTGGTACCTTGTTGGTAATAACGTCCAGGGCGTTCCCTGCCATGCCCTAGACTCAGTAACTGTTCTTCCACTGTCAGGGGGAGAACTGGTCTTCAGTCTTCCACGCTCAGCAAAATTACAAAGTTAGACGGGGCCAACCCGCTGGAATTAATTCTACTCCCCCCCTCCCCCGAAAGCCAGACTCTACTAATGTTCACTGTGGAAGGGGAGATGGGAAGCCCAGCGCCTCCCATGGAAGAGATCGAGCCTTTCTCATGCCAATAGGAGAAGGACAAGAGCAGCGTCTTCCTGTGTTGTACTTTGCTGAGCTCCCTGGGAGTGGCTGGTTGGGGTTAATAACTGTCCTGGGCTGTCCTGGCAATGTCCTCTGAGTTTTGCCCTCACATTGTCTCCAGGTGGCTGAGTTGTTCACAGATAACTTTGATTATCAGACTCGGGATGACTTTGTGCGTGGCCTGCTGGTGAACGAGGAGGTAAGTGGGGGTATTGTGCGAGACCCACTTCTGTCTGACCCAAGAGGAGCCTTTGGCTTTTCACCTCATCTCTTCAGTGGGTGGCTGGGACCTTTTTGTTTGCTGTCTGGGATGAGATGTTTCCATGTCAGCACAGCTGGTTGTGCGTGCTGGGCTGTAACATGTTCTAAGTTGTGATAGGCACTGGAGGCTCTTGGGGAGCTGGGAACAGTTCTCCGTTAAACTAGCAACTAGATCTCCTGCAATTCACAAAAGCACCTGCTCTCAGCTCCTGGTTTAGGCTGTACGTAGAAGAATAGGAAATATGAAGGCTTGGTCTTGTTAAATTAGAAACTGACACAGCCTTTACTGCTTCACTATCATGGTGCCATGTTTTACATTATGCTCTTCAGAGCAAGGACTGTCTCCTGAGTTTGACAGCACCCATCACAGTGGGACTGTGATCCTGTTTGGGGCCTTTGGACACTGCCATAATGCAAGTAATGATAACAAACTTCATTGCACTTGACCTTCCATCTTTCCAGACTTACTGTTTGGTTGAATTTCAGCAATTATAGGGAATCTGAAAGTCCTGGCTAGAGATAGGCATCATGTCAGCAGATGTGTGCTAGCTGCCTCCATGGACTCTGCTGATGCCCCTGAGTCTTGACTTGAAGACCACCCTGGTATTCCTATTCCACTGCCTCCCATATAGCTCTGCCAATGTCCCTCACCCCAACCTGAAGCGTCCCCTTGTATACCTGTCCTGGCTAATCATGTTGGTACTGTAGTGGGTGTCTTTGGAAACATATGAGCAGGCTTGTGCAAATGACATGCCATCCTAAAGCCACTGGGGTGATAGTGATTCTGGCTTGTAATGCATTTGGGAGGCTGGTGTTTGAGAGTATTTGGGATGTGATTCAGGTGATTGGGGTCTGAGAGTGTCGTGGAAGCAATGCCCTTAGTGTCTGAGAAGGCTGGTTAGTGAATATGGTAGCAGAAGCACCTGTATGGAAGCAAGAGTGCAAAGAAGAGGGGTGGGTTGTGGTGGGAAAGTGTGTGGGTGACATTTAACATGGCGTAGAACCCTGCTCAGGTGCAGGGAGCCTTCCTCTGCCAAGAGTCCCTTGATAGGCTTCTGTATGTTTCCCAGGTCCTAGGGAACCAGATCCATATGCATGTGACAGCAGAGGAGTATGGTGCCCGTGTGTCCAACCTGCTGATGTACGAGGCTGTGTGTTCCGACATCATCCGGCGCTGGGTTTATCCTATGACTCCAGAGATGAACTTCACCGATGATGAGACACAGAGCTATACCCATTCCAAGCACAACATCTACCGAGGGGCAGAGGTGAGCCTGGGCCACGGCAGCGTGCTGGACGACAACGTCCTCATTGGGCAGGGGACGGTCATTGGCAGCAACTGCTCCATTACCAACAGTGTCATCGGTCAAAACTGCAAAATAGGTGAGTGCCATAAATGGGAGGCGTGGGGAGGGGAAGCCTGGCGTTGTTTGGAATTATAGTGAATTCAGTTCTGATCGAAGGTACTTTTTGTGGGAGGAGAGGAGTGGAGGCAGTAGGTGAAATGGGGTTATTAGGGAAACCAAAGTGGAAGGAGGAGAATTACAAGTAGTTAAGCTAGTATATATTGTACAGTCTTGAATGCTTAATTTTTAAAGAGGTCCAGGCCTTTGGGGTGGGAGCTAATGCCACAGCAGGGAGCACAGTGCAAGCTGAGTGAGAGGAGGGCACACAGGAAAAAGAAAGAGAGGTGATGTGTATGTATGTTAAGACAATCACTTACTGGGCTTGTCTCAGACCAGTATTCTAGAGGTGAAAATCTCTGTATCTCATGCTCATCCCCATGAACCTCCTAGTGCCCCAACTTCACAGCCTCGAATACAGCTCCATTGTTCTCATTTTTCCCCATTTTGCTGAATTACTGTAAGGGGAGGCCTGTTGGTACTGCAGCATTTGCTGAATCTCTACAGAAACCTTCACTCAGTTTGTCTTCCCTGGCTTAGCCTACGGAGTGGCTGCTGAAATCTGAGGCTGGCTTTGCCAGGATGTCTAACCTCCACTGAGCCACAAGGGTACCCTCTAGTTCTGGAGCTAATGGGTTGGAAACTCTCTGGTGCATTCAGCATTGGGAACGTGCTAGTGAAGCACAGAGTGAGAGCTGTGATCTCCCTGCTCAGCATCTTTGTGGTGGCATTTAATAGGGGATGAAGTTATCCTGGATGGAGCATTCCTCTGGAACGGTGTCCACGTAGCAGACCGCGTGGTGATCCGGCAGTCTATTGTCTGCGATGAGGCTGAAGTGAAGGAGACGGTCAAATTAAATCCTCACTGCGTCCTTACTTCCCAGGTGAGCTGCTTCGGTGTCTGCAAGGTTCTCCGCGCTCCTTGGAGAGTTACTAGACTTGCTCATTGAATATACTGAACTGAGAGGACCTGGCCAGCAGCTAGAATGAGGGGTGCTCCAGGCCCTTTCTTCTGGTTGGGGCATAGATTACTGCCCCCACCTTGTCCCTTCTGCAAGGAGTTTGGTTTATTTAGCAGGGTACATGCCCAGGCACCGCTAATATTTCCAAATATGTTTCAGTGTTACACAGTTCCAGGAGAAACTCTTTGAGGCAGCCCTTGGCTCCTGGGGGTGGAAATGAGAGGTGGCAATGTAGGGAGCTGTGCTTCTGTTCCTTATATAGATAAGTAAGTCCTTTATTTTTAGGTGGTGGTGGGTCCTAACATCACCCTCCTTGAGGGCACAGTGATCTCGCTGCACTCACCAGATGAGGAAGAGGAGGATGACGATGAGTTCAGTGATGATTCTGGAGTGAACAAGGAGGAGAACAAAGTGAAGCTGAAAGGTACATGAGCTTTTGTTCAGCCCTTTGGTCCTGTCCTTTGTGGGGCTTCACCCTCTGGGACTAGCCTGTGTTCCAAACTTGCTGAAATGCAAAGCTGGTAGCAAAAGTCTTATGTTAAGCTTGGCATCTGTGCCCCTTTAGTGGGGAAAGAGGGATATCCAGTATACCAAGCTAATAGTCAAGTCAAATAACTGGTGACTACCTGCCCTCTCCAGCACCCAACCTCCTGTTTCATCATAAAGATCTGTGGACACTTGTCTTGGGGTGGGAGCTCTCTACAGATGACAGGCTACAGCTTGAACAGTCACTCAATTCAGGACAGATGCCAAGCCATCTGGCCCTCAATTCTCTCCCACTGCACCCCAGGGAGTACCGGATCTTAATGCTCCTCCCCCATGGGATATTGGTTCTGTCAGGCCCCACTTGTGTAGGATTCAGAGTGTGAGTCAGTGTGTCAAGCCAGCCAAGCCATGCTGCTGTAGGCCAAGATAAAAGAACAGCCTGGTCATTTTCTACTGGCCTAGGTGAATGAAAGCAGCACCCTGTATGCACGGATGGGAGACCCAACTCTCCCACTGTGGGTTAAGTATTTGGGACACAGCTTGGTGCAGGTCATTCTGACCCTCCCCTCACTCCCCCACTAGAGGCCAATCAATTTCAGGTTGGTTGGCTGTCCCAGTATCTTCCTTCCTTCTAAACGCCATCTTCTTCTTTCAGGTTATAACAAAGCAGAGGTGGGGTCAGAGGGCAGAGGTTACCTCTGGAAAGCAGATGATGAGAATGAAGCGGATGAGGAAGAGCAAAGACAAAGCCTTTGGGGTGAGGAAAGGTTTGATGTAGACTGCTGGGAATGGAAATGCATGTACCCTATTTCAGTGAGTTGCTGAGTGGGACGTTAATAACGGGCAGGGATCATCTTTTTGTTCTGTGTTTGTGCAGCACCTAGCACGGGGGGTCCTGGACCATCGCTACGGCTCCTAGATGCTGCAGTAATACAAATAATAATTCGTCTCTAAGGTCATCGAAAGTGGTGTCTTGAACCAGGCTGAGGAAGTCTCCCCAAGCAAAGTGGTGTATAGTCCATTACTGAGATGTCAAAACTCAGATTAGACAAAGCCCTGGAGAAGAGGGAGGTGGGGGGAACAACCTCGGGTTAGAAATCTGATACTCCAGCTGCATGGGGAAATCCCATCCCTCTTGGAGCCCTTGTTTCAGAGGCAGGCAGATGTCACTGCCCCAGTTCTGCTAAGGACATGTTTGGAAAACTTCCTGCCCAGCCATAAAGGCTAGATACATTTTATTGAAGAGAAAAAGAAAGGCAGCTGAGATTCTGGAGCACAATTAGGGATGGATCTTGTGGCCAATTCCATCGCTGCCAAACAGAGACGTCCATGTTATAATTGTGGGATTTGGTGGCATGAAGTCTCCCATTGAGCTCCATGTACAGTACGGTGGATATGGATGCATTGCATTGACCAAACGCTCTTCTTGTGGTCTTCAAGATGGTCCCAGATCTTGCCTCTTCTGCTCCAGCCTTTTGTCTCACAATAACAAACTTCAAACCCGTGTCTGAATGATGGAGGGAGCCCATTACATTCCAGGCACCGAGCTGCTGCTGTCGCCCCTCAGGGATGGGGGGCATGTATGTTGATCATTATTTTCCACTAGAACTGCTCAGCTGAGAGGCTACATCTGTAAGGTTCCAGCTCAAGTGAGAGTACCATGCTGCTGGCATTGCTGGCCTTGCAACTAGTGAGCAGCTTGGCTGGGAGGGAGGCTTTTGCTTTCATCACTGACCCATGCTGCCTGCTCCTAGGGATCCAGCAAGGCCTCTTCAAGTTAGTGGCAGGCCCCACTCGGTGGTTATGGACGTCTGGGTCTGGAAGTAGCAAATCCCAGACAAGGATCGCTTGTTCAAACCTGCCTGGATTCCAGCTTTGTCAGCTGGGGAATGCCTGCAGCTCCTCTGCTTTCAGGGTTGCCCCTTAAAAGGTTACGTTTTCCTGTTTACCAGGCCCCACCTTGAATCCAGAGGAAGAGAGTGAGACAGAGAGTGACCTGAGTCTGGGCTCCGAGCAGCCAGACAGTCGGACTGCTTCTCCTCAACTGGATGACATCAAAGGTGAGAGGCCTGGGCCTAGAGGGAATGCTGGGAGCGCCAGGGAAGGGCCCAGAGCTTGTGGATAGTGGGGTGAGCCCTGTGCTGCTGTGACTGTGTGCACTGAACATTCCCGCCTTGCTCCAGCTCACGCCTCCCTCTTCAGAGGCCCCCAATCTTCCTGGCCAGCATTTCTCTTGTTCCTGTTACAGTTCTTTGATATTCTCTTCCATGCTGTTGCCTAGTTAGTACATGCCTAGGGGCTCAGGTGAGATGGTTGAGAAGGACTTTCCCTCTTCCTGACCAAAGGCTGTTTGAAGCTGTCTTTGTCAGAGACTGTGTTCCCTTTCCACAGTAGTTGATTGTGGTAATTTTCCCCCTGTTGCACATCCAGGAAGCCACAAGATGTGTTTGGGCTTGTCTACATGGGAAAGTTTTACTGGTATAGTTGAGCCCATGTAGTTACACTGGCATTACACCCCATGTGGCACTCTTAGTTCGGTATGAGTGGCTTTTTCAGTTTAAGTGCATCCACTTGGGGAGTTATACCAGTCTTGTCATATGAGTTTAAATTCCCCCTTGGCTTATACCAGTATAACTTTCCACGTAGATGAGCCCTTAGGTCATGGAATAGCCTGTCAAGGGAGCTGTAGAAGCCCTGTTGCCTGAGTCGTTTAAAACTGGTCTGCATACAACCCTGGAGAACACGTGGTGCAGTAGGAGACAGTCCTGCACTGGTGCCTAGGAATGAAATTGGTGGGATCTGGCAGGTCTTTACTTTTATACGTGCTCTACAGTCACTTACAGGTGGAATAACTGTGGGCATGTGTTGGGTTATGGAGAATCATAGAATATCAGAGTTGGAAGGGACCTCAAGAGGTCATCTAGTCCAACCCCCTGCTCAAAGCTCTTTAGTCGGCTTGTCCCTGCTCCTGTCACGGGGCTGGTTTCTCTGTAGTGAGAGATGCTGTTTGCTGGACTTCTCCCTCTCCTATCTAATGGCCTATTCTTGCGTTGGTGACAGTTTTCCAGAATGAGGTTCTGGGTACCTTGCAGAGGGGTGAAGAGGAGAACATCTCCTGTGATAATCTGGTCTTGGAAATCAACTCTCTCAAGTAAGTGGTCCCCCTGGAACTGCAGTGCCTGACTCTGAAGTGTCTTTTGTCTAGTGAGCATGATGCTAAGAGGTTTGAAAGGGGGGAAAAGGGAAACCATGTGACTAGCCCATGTGGCGATCAGTATCCGGTTAGTTTCTTCAGCAGTCGGGCTTAAGAGATAGTGATAACTGAAGATAGTGACATGAGGCGATGCAGAGAGTGCTCTCGCTCCATAACCTCCCCAGCTAGCATTAGCTGCTGTTCCATGAGCTCTCGGGCTAGGGACTGAATATCCATTGGGTGCCTACGAAGGGAATGGGAGAACACCAGTCCTTTTAGAGCAAAGCCACACATTAGTTTACCCAGGGAGTTGCCACTCTCCATACATTGCAACATTCAACCAGCAAGTCCAGAGCCAAGAATCTGTGTGTGGTGTGGCATTTCCACCCTGTTTACACAACAGCTCATGAGTTTTAGCCTTTGTAATATTCTGGTCTGTCATTAGCTCTTGTTAGCATCTCCACTGCTAACATGCTTAGGGCAACCTGAGCTTGTACATGCTTTAGAATTCGCCTTCCAGCCTCCGCTGTCACTGAGAATAATTAGGCAGAACAAACCTGTTGGGCCTCATTAAAGTCCTCTCTCTACTGGGAGTAGACTATAAACTAGAGAGACAGACAAACCAATTGACTTTTTCCTGAGCACAGCTGGCAGTGCACCTAGTTTGTCTCCCAGGTCTGTGTAGGGGTGATGAAAGGTGAACAATAATGCTTATCTCACTTCGAAAGCTATCCAATTGGTGAGGGTTGGAGCTCAGGGTCCAATTGGGTGTGTTCTACCTACCGCTTCTCAAGTACAAGTCTGTTTCTCTTGTTTCCCCCATCATATTCCTGCATCATACCAGTACACGTGAGTGTGCTGTCCCTGTCCAGGCAGCATGTTACATTCTGAAACTGGGTCTTCAGGAATGTGCTCTTTCATGAGACCCATTGCAATGCAGGCACGTTTCTGACTGCACGAATACACTAAACATGATGTTTAAAAAAAGACTTGGGCCCAGGGCTGGGAAGTTAACATTTAATGAAATTCTTAGAAATGGATGTCCTGCAATAGAAGAATAGACTTCAGTGATTTGCCATGGCTGGAGGCAGGATGCCAGATTGCACAGGCTTATGGTCCTAGAAGGTGTGTCGGTCTGACATCCTCTCCCCTTTCCCTTCCAGATATGCCTATAACATTGGCCTGAAGGAGGTGATGCAGGTGCTCAGTCAGGTGGTCATGGAGTTCCCATTGCAGCAGCTGGACACGGAGTTAGACCCCCAACACTACTGTGTAATGCTGATTCCTGTGAGTACCCTTCCCCACTCCTTTCAGCCTGCAGCTATTTTCTGTTCTTTCTACCGTGACGTGGTGGTTTAGAGAGAGGAGCCCTGGTCCTCCTGAGTTAAATTAGACTAGTCTCAGGCACTGTTACAGGAACAACAGATGGGCGTTCGCCTTTGTGCTGAGCACCGTACGTGAACGTGAACCTTAGAAGAGGGCTGGGGATGGGATAGAGAGTTATGCGCTTGGCAGTCTCTTGGTTTTTGCGCTGGACACAGCCTTCTAGTAAATTGGCATTGGAGCGTGGGGTTCAGAAGTGGGATCTGAAGGAGTTGGGAGGCTGCATGCAACAGCAGGGTAGTAAGTGGGGAAGGCACTTGTGGGAGAAGGACTCAATAGCACATGGGAGTCAAGAAAGCCAAAGAGCAGGAGGCCTCAGCAGCAGCTAAAACTCAGGGGCATGGAAAATTAAGACGACTTCTTACCTGTTCTTTCTTGGGACTTCTCTCCTGGTGCTTAGGAGTGGCTCCAGGTCCTCCAGCCCCTTGCTGGCTCTAGAATCATTGAGCCTAGGGACTGGCCTCTCGTGAATTCAAGGGACTTGCTGGCTCATGAGCCTCCCTTGATTCTCCTAAAGCAGTAAAATTACCAACGCCATTAACTCGCCTTGACAAAGCTCAGCTAGTGTCTGGCTTGGAAGAGACTTGTTTGTTTTAAGTAGCATGTGCTTCTTTCTGTCTCCTGTGAGCGAGGACTGGAAATATTCACCCTTCCTCTGAGACTAGACCCAAAAGAGGCACAGTCCTATTGGGGAAGTCACCGGGAGTACTCCTTGCTGCGGTACATATCTAATACTGGCAACTTTTCCAGTGTCTACTGCAGAGACAAAGGCAGGACCTGGCTGCCTCTGAGTAAGAAGCAGAGCCCGGCTTCACCCCTAGAAAGGCCCTGGGTGTATGTGGCTGTGTAGAATGGGCTGCCATGTTACCTGCTGACCCTCAGTGAGAGCTTGTCCCAGGACCTCTGGTCTCAGTTTGGAGGAGGTGGACAGGTCCCTGCTGTGGCCTCTGATGCCCATTTGTGTGTGTTGGACTGAGTGACCCTTTAGTGATTGCAATGATGCATATATTAGAAGAAGCAAGTCTGGTTCCTAGCTGCAAAGGGTTGATTTGGATTGTCCTGCCTTTAGTGGGATATGGGGAGCAACAATGGGCAGCTCCTGTGTTTTCTGTGGGGGAGTGTGATTGTGTGGGGTGGGGAAGAGACATTTCCCCAAATGGATCCAGACACCTGACTTAGTTCAGTTTGGGGAGATGCCTTCGGTTGGAAATGTGCAGCAGTTAAACAATTCAGTTCATACTAATTCAGTTCTCTTTATAAGGTTTAATTGAAAATGCCCCATTCCTCTTGGCCAAAATGTATCCTAATGAAAGAGGGGAGCTGGGGTGCACACCGAGCAGACGCTAGACTCTCCTTGTATGTGGAAAGCAATACAACTGGAGAGTTGGATGCCTGAAGTCTGCTGCTGTTTGGGATCCTAGTGTGAATAAGATACTGCACCGTTCCTTGCTGGATCCTGCAGTGAGCTGCTGGTCCAGGAAGTGAGACATGGAAGCATCACTACAGCATCCTGTCAGAGGAGCAGGTGGATGAGGATGGGGCAGAGCCCAGGGGTTTTCCATTCGCTTTGCAATGAGGGGAAATGATAAGAAAACCACAATGATGATTGTTTGTTTGTAGTACAGTAGCACCTGGGGCCCCAGTCTAGGGTCCGAGCCCTACGCTGCACAAACACACAACTGCGAGACTATCTTTGCCTCAGAGTATTTATGATCCAAGTGTAGGATGTGAAAGGTAAACAGCTTATGTTTGGTGTATATATTTTGTACATGTGTGTTTCATCATAGCAAAACTGACATGAACATTTACCAGCGTAGGCACTAAATCAGTTCCGCTCCCTTGTAGAATTTTGTACGGTGGGTGTGTATGTATCTACAGCAGTGCTCTGTGTATTAAATATTAATACACTGCTTGGCTTTATCAAATGTACATAGTGCTCTCTTACCTTCATAAGCAAGCTTGACATGGACACCCCCAGAAGCATTTAGCCAATTAAAGTAGCCAGCTCCCCAAGTCTTCTTTTGGAGAAGGCGGCCAACAGATTTCCTAGAGTGTTCTGCCTGGAACAATCTTATGTACTGACGTCCTTACCTTGTGCAGAAAATATTAATGTGGGGTTTCCCCAACTGGAGATCACAACCGCTGGGGCAGTGATGAGGTGTGTTATGGGTGGTCACATAAAAATATAAAATTATGAGTATGGAAAAATGTCAGTACATTTTAAAATGAGAAATGTATACGTCATGTGAGGCTGGTGGTGATTGATTATTAATGTGTATTATGGAAGTGGCTAGGAGGCCCAGTCATGGACCTGTACCCCATTGTGCTAGCTGCTGTACAAACACAGATTGAGAAGACTGTCTCTCCCCCCCCCCCCCAAAGAACTTCCAATCTAAGTAAAAGACAAGAGACAACAAATGGATATAGACAGACAGAGGAGCTCAAGGGAACAATGAGACAGCAGTCAGTGTGACAGATGTTCGTCTCAACACATCTGCTGCCTAACCATTGTCAGAGTTGTGTTTCTGTTAAGCCACCCCATCTTGTTATAATTTGAGAACCCCAGCTAGTGCTTTGGATATGCTAGTGTAGAATGAGAGTATAACCTGGATGTTCCTCATACAAAGTACTACAAGCCCCATTAAAACGTTACTTTGTATGAAGTGAAGTACCCAGGCACAGGCAGTGGCAAAAGTAGAATGCCAGACATGTCAGATGAGCCTCACACAGCCATGTTGTATGTGTCGTTCAGTCGATTGTATCTCGGTCCCGGCTAAGTGGTGACAGAGAAAGATGGACCATTTGTGAAAGGGATGATGGCAAGCTGTTCGAGTGACAGCTCAGAGGAGGGGAAATTGTGGAACTACAGTGATAGTTAAAACAACGAGGAGTCCTTGTGGTACCTTAGAGACTAACAAATTTATTTGGGCATGTTTATTTGGGCTGGGTCACTACAAAAAATAATTTTCCCTCTGTTGATACTCACACCACCTTGTCAACTGCTGGGAATGGGCCACATCCACCCTAATTGAATTGGCCTCATTAGCACTGACTCCCCACTTGGTAAGGCAACTCCCATCTGTTCACGTGCTATATATTTATACCTGCTTATTGTATTTTCCATTCCGTGCATCTGATGAAGTGGGTTATAGCCCACGCAAGCTTAAGGCCAAAAAAATTTGTTAGTCTCTAAGTTGCCACAAGGACTCCTCGTTGTTTTTACTGATACAGACTAACACGGCTACCCCTCTGAAACCAGTGATAGTTAAGACATATAGGTTTACGTTGACTTGAAATCATGGTGTGTAACATGTTAGGAAGTGCTGTTTTCCATGAGTTTGAAGCCTTCAATGTTGGCATAATGCTCACCCATCAGTGAAGAAATAAGCACAAGGTTATTTCTCAGGGAAAACATGAAGCCTCGAAAAATCAGTAAGACTGTATTGCTCACACTGGCAGTGTCAACCCAAACACCCAGCAGGCATCTTATTTGGTATCTCTACAAATTGCACAACAGCATAAGGCATGTAATGTTGCAGAAAACATCATCCTTCCCCAGACATTAGACATGGTTATAATAATAATTTTAATTTAATTAATGGAGATATCCTATCTCCTAGAACTGGAAGGGACCTTGAAAGGTCATAGAGTCCAGCCCCTTCACTAGCAGGACCAAGTACTGATTTTTGCCACAAATCCCTAAGTGGCCTCCTCAAGGATTGAACTCACAACCCTGGGTTTAGCTGGCCAATGCTCAAACCACTGAGCTATCCCTTCCCCCAAAAGTTATAGAGCCTGAAGCAGCTGCCAAGTTGAAGACGGTGCTTTTGCCATGTAACCCTGTTTGATGCAGTATTAGTGACATGGGTGAGGTTGTCCAAGAGCCATTACTTTCGGGAAAAGTTACTGCTTCGCAATTCACCATCATGAATCAGTCCGTGCGTCTGCTGCTGCCCGGCTTCTAGTGTTTGAGGTGTGTCTCCACTGGGTCTATGAAGCAGACTTTACTCTTTTATAAAGCTGTGCCGGGGAACAGCCCAGATGAATGCTCATCAGAGACCTTTCAGCCAAAGATCTCCACAGTCAGTGGGAGCATAACAATATAATCTGCAGGGATGGCGCCAAGAGGAGGGCAGGTAAGAACCACAGCCTAGTCGCACTTGTGCAGATCACCCCTCATGACAGCACTTTCCTACCGGGGTCTTGGGGAAGTGGAGACGCAGGTGAAGGAATATCTTTGGATCACAAACATCTTCACTCAAGCTGCTGTCAACGCTGCAGCACTGACTAGACCTAGTGCAGGATGATCTGATAGACCTCTCCTTTGACAAGGACCTGAAATTAACTCCAGTCAAGAATGGGTCAGATTTTTGGCTGAAGCTGGGTAACTACCAGACATAGATGCAGAAGTCATGAAAATTCCTATTCCAGCCTTATATCTTTGCAAATTGTCTCTCTCCGGTGGTGGCAAACCCAAAGTATCGCAATCCTGGTCATTCTAAAATAACACTGTGTGTTGAAAATCTTTCATCTCCAGGCTAGCTTCATTCATCACATAGGATGGCAGGTGTATTTAGAACTTTGTGCTTCCTTTGTAATCAAAGTTTGCTTTTTGAAACCCCGTAATCATTTCTGGTATGTTCCAAAATTCTGCCTACTTATTGTTAATGGAAGGGGTCACAAAACACGTCTTTGCCTGGTGGTACTAACTGACTGCTGAGGTGCATTTGAGAGGAAAAAATTCCAAAGAGGAATAAAAAATGATGGTTGCAGGGGAGGGAGAAGTAAGCGGCAGCATTAAACATATTGCCCATGGGTTAAAGTAGTTCCTGGAACTGTGCATGCTGCAACATCAGGACCACTCTACCCTTGTGCCCTATTACAGATAGTGTCCTGTGAGCCAATCGTCATTGTTATAATATACAAATCATCCTACTTGTATTTCCCACACTATGGCCTCTCCTCTCCTCTGCTGGATGCTTGACGTCACAAAGACCCTAACATGTTCCTAATAGTACCTATTCCACCAGCAGAGGAGATGGAATGTGGCACTCCAGAGCCATCATTGTTGCCTTCTGCCTTGGGTGTTGTTGTGGGTGCTCTGCATTCACAGCCTTTGCAGGCTTGGAAACTTGCTCAGGGTCCCCTGTGTGGCTGTCATGCTGCCTGGAGGGGCTCTTGAGCGAGAATACAAACCTCCGGGCAGACTGCTAAGAAGCAGGGCACAAACCCCAAACTGGTTGTGAGTTCTAAATACTTCGATTTCACCAACCAAGTAACAAGTGTAAACTCCTCAGGCACTATACAGCCTTAACATGGAGTCTCAGACAGTCCCCTTGGGCATTCCGATCTAGGCAAGATTGACTCTGTGATAGACGGTCACTTTACACCCAAAATTACAAAATATTCAGGTTGCTCCCAATCCTAAAGGACCAGTCACTACCCCAGGTCAATTTGTACTTTAGATCTCACACCAAAGACGACACTTGTAGCCAATCCTGTAATAAACTAACTAAAGGTTTATTAACTAGGAAAAATAAATGACTCTTATTTACAAGATTAAAGCAGGTAATCATCCACACACGAGTTAGTCAATTTTCAAAAGGTAATAGCAACTTCTAGTAAGCAGACTCTCCATGTCCTTTAGGATGGGGTTCTCAACCTTTTTTCTTTCTGAGCTCTCCCTCCACCCCAACCTGCTATAAAAACTCCATGGACCAGCTATACCGCAGCAGTCCTGTGTGATGGGGCTTCGGCTTTCTGCCCTGGGCAGAAAGTCTAATGCTGGCCATGCTTGGCGGACCCCTTGAAACCTGCTGGCGGACCCCTAGGGGCCCCCAGACTCCTGGTTGAGAACCATTGCTTTAGGGCTAACCCAGGCAAAACAGCTGGGGATTCCTTGCCTATGCTTAGAAATCCTTGCCCCGCAGAGTTCAAGCAGCAAAGGTATAATACATTTGGCTCAATGGATATTTTTATTCCCTTCCTCCAGCGTTCAAGCTGTGATGGGATGAGGGATTGGGCACTTACCCGCTTCAGGGCTGTGGATTCAGTAGTACATCCTGATAGGCAGGAGACAACGCCATCTGTAGGAATCCAGCATTTTGCATTAGGGGATGATTTTTTTTTCCCCCGTTTGGTAAGTCACGTAGTTTCAGAACAAACACTTTATATCCCATGTTATAAGGTCATACTTGAGGTTATAAGTGAGATTAATGCATGTGGCAACATAGAAGCATTTCATAGAATCTAAACACTCTACACATTGATATAAATCCAATACCTATCTTAACAATCCTACACACAGGTGAGCCAGACTGGTTTCCTGCTATGCATTTGTCAGTGTCCAGTGAGGCCTAAAGGGCCTTGGCATGAGCTGGCACCTGGTCTGCCAGTGTCACAGTGGCATTGAAGAGGTCCGAGCTTTCCAACTGGCAAAGATGCTTCCTCCCAGGAGTTGGTGGGAGAAGTGTCAGTGATAGAAACTAGCCACATATGTGGCTGAGGGAGGTCTTTGCCCAATGCTCCTGAGAAATCCCTATTGCTGCTGTACCATCTCTACCCAGTGGGCAGACCTGTTCATTCTCTGAGGGGGCTGCTATCCTCAGATCATGGTAAAAGAGTATGTGTAGTTTCATAGGCATGCAGGGAACTTGGGGTGCGCTAACTTAGCCATTGGTTTGTCTCTTGTTAAATTAACCCTTTAAAAAAGAAACAGAACTCACTGACTTTAACGTGCTGTGGGAAGCAGGATGTTTATGGGAGCTGCACACCCTGGCTCATTGCACAATCAAGCAGGCAACTTTGTGTTCAGTTGTTCTCTTATTCTAGTGCTATAAAACAGGTTCTCAACAAAGGGTCGGTGAGCTGGTTTCAGGGGGCTGCGGGGGCCCACAGTTGAAGCCTGTGCCCTGATCCCTGGCACCCCTGTGCGGCTGAAATGGAGCGGAGCCATGGGGAGCCCCAGCTCCCCCTGTGGGGCTGAAGCCAGAGCTGTGGGGCTGGAGCCCAAAGCTGGGGCACTCCTATGGGGCTGAAGCCCAGAGGCCCCTCCCCGCCGCCTGATGGCTGAAGTCTGGAGCCCCCCAACTCCCCTGCCTGCCACTGGACCCTGGAGTTTTTAGAGCATGTTGGGGGGACCTCGGAAGGAAAAAGGTTGAGAACCCCTGCTGTAAAAGCTCTTGTGGTTTGGGATCAGGATGCGCACCTCCTGCGCACTTTCCTCCCCAAGCCCAGACCCCCATTTCTCAGCTAGAAACACAGCACAAAACACTGAGCGAAAGGTTTAATGAAGAATAAACCTTGGGGAGGGATCAGCCAGTAACCTGACAGCTTCCTGCGTCTCATCTCTCCTCCCCCTTTACCTGTAACAGATTCTAGCGGCGGCTGCAGTGTCCTAAGAAGCTTCCAGACAAACGCACAAGCAAATGGGGACTGAGCCTTTGGGAACTTCTCTTGTGCTTTTGTTTTGGAGGCAGCCCATCTTGCTGCCTGGACTCAGCTAGAGGGGACGGACAGTGAGCAGGCAGTGGGACAGTGACTAAGGCGATGTCTACTCTAGCATGTCCGTTGGTAAAACGTTTGTCGCCTAGGGGTGTGAAAAGACACCCCCCCCGACCGACATAAGTTACCCCGACAGATGTGCTGGTGTGGACAGCGCTGTGTCTCCTGCCGACATAGCTACTGCCGCTCGTTGGGGAGGGTTTAATGATGCCGACGAGAGAGCGCTCTCCTGTCGGCACAGAGCAGCTACACGAGAGCCCGTGCAGCGGCACGGCTGCAGCGGTACAACTGTGCCGCTGTAAGGTCTCTAGTGTAGACATAACCGAAGGCTTTGCTCTATTTCTAGTAGTTGCTCCTTTTCAGTTACACCTTCTCTAGCTGCTCTGCGGAGTGATCATGTCCCAGGCTCAGTGATGTACCATTGTCTGCTGTGAAGTGACATCCTTTGAGTTCCCTGCTCCCCTGAACTCATTTGTGATAATACCTACCACTCTAGCCATAGCTCCTAAAGCACTTCAGCAAGATAGTTACACATCCTCTTCGTGCTACAGACAGGAAAACACGGACACACAAGTGGACTTGTCACTTCGTCACCCCAGCTGCCCCCTTAACTTCACTCAGCTCTTGGGGACAGTGTTGTGTATGTAATTAGATGGTCTGAATGATGGGAGTGTGGCTTTCTACAATGCTTTGCTTCCCCAGACCAGTCTGTTCCCACTGAGGAACTGCATTGAACATGCGCATATCTGTATTTAAAGGTCTCATAATCCAAGAGCCTTTGTTCTTTACTCTGATTCCTCCTGCAGCTGTTGAAGAAGTGGTCCCCAGTGTTTAAGAACTACATAAAGCGGGCATCAGATCACTTGGACGCCTTATCTGCCATTGAGGAGTTCTTCCTCGAACATGATGGCCTCCACACATCCATAGCCAAAGTAAGTTCCTCACAGTGGCAAGGACTTCTGCTTCCACTAGCTCAGTAGTGAATTGTGGTTTGTAGGTGCCATCAGTTTGTCCTCTATCAGAAAAGGAAGGCTTATGTGTCTGTTGGGAAGGGTGGGTGAAAAAACATCTATGAACGTGATTAAAATCTCTCCTCTGTCTGCCCAGGCCTCTGACTGAGCCCTGCTATGGAGGAGTACTGGTTGACATGCAATCTGGAGCTGCTATCTAGCAGTATCTAACCCAGAGGGACCCCTTCCATGGTGCTGTAGTGGAGGGGAGTGGAGGAGAGGCCAGTTTCACACTCTGAAGGCACCCAAACCCACCATCTTGGACCCAAAAGCGAGGGGGTATAAAATAGCTTTTGTCACACTTACAGATGGGAGATAGGCAAGGCTGGAAAGAGGGTGGGATTTTGTATTCAGGCTGAACTGGGTGGAAATCAATGAACCAAATGAAGGTAGTGTGTGGGTGATCTGCTTTTCCACTGTAGGTTTCAGTCCTGGAAAGTGTTAAATGCACGTTTCGTACACACACCCTCCCTCTGTTAATGGATTATTTCTGCCATCTAAAATTGCAGCTAAACTCCCCAATTAGAAATCTTTCCATGAATAATCCCTCTACAAGTGCCTGCACAACATTACACCCGTCACTTCCAGAAGAGAGCTGTCCTGCAAATCTGCCTACACCTTGGTTCCCCAATAAGGAGGAATCTTATCTCATGGTACCAGTGCCTCTGGCTAATGGCACGAGCACTTAGCCTGGACTGACGCCAAAAGCCTTCAACTCAGTAAGCCAAAGTGTCCTTGAATGACAGAGATTGTCTGGCATGTATCCATTGTTCTAGCCTGGCTTTCCCTGGTGGCCAGGAGTTGAAGTGACACTTCATTACTGGAGCTGGCACATGTAGCCCAGCTTCTGTCAGTCCTCTGCCATGAGGAGACTGACTGCAAAGTGTCTCGTCAGGTTGAGCACAAAGGGGTGATGAGGCCCCCCAAGCAAGAGTGCATTAGCATCCTCCCCTCATCATGGCGTCAGGCAAGAGCTTGATTCTACAAATGTTCAATTGCATTTGACACCCACTAGAAGGCACCTTTTAGCAAAGGCCGTGCAGGGTTGCGTTGCAGATGTGACAACCAGAGTTAGGAGTGGCTGAACCGCATTAGTGCTCTTCCCTACTGCAGCTGCCAGAATTATGCGCATCTGGGTCTGTGGACACAAGAGGTTCCTGAAAGATCCATTTTGGTGCTTGTTATTAGTGTGCTTTACCAAGGAGGGGGAGATGACTTTGTGGAGTCCCCTTGGGGTCCTTCATTGCTTTCAACTCCTAAATACCCCTCCCGGCATCCTTGGAGTTGAAAGCCATGAGGGGAGCTCTGATTTGGACCTTGTGTGCTCAGAGCTACCTCACCTCAGAGGCTCAGTGTCAGCAGGGAAAGTATGGGTATTGGGGACAACAAAAGCACAATGATATACACTCCGTTCTCTCCCACTGAGGCTTGTGGTGGGAGTCCCAGATTGTCATACACAGTCTTTTACTGTTCTGTTGCCCCATTTATGGTTTTCTGATTGGTCCAGGTGCTGATGACCTTTTACCAGCTGGAAATCCTGGCAGAGGAGATGATTCTCGTCTGGTTTTCTCAGCGGGACGCATCTGATAAGGGCAGGCAGCTTCGGAAAAACCAGCAGGTAAGTCCAACCTTGGGGCGGAGGTGGTTCTGGTAAAGCTGGGTTCTCAGCAAGGCAGATAATGAAATACAATGCATTGGCTTACGGCAGCCCAGCTTGGCTTTCTGCCATGTTCTGCCACAACCAGAGGTAGTGGGAGAGGGAAATATTTACTGAGAGGTGCTCGAGAAATTGCTGGGATCACCCTATGCTCTGAGTAATGGAGAAGCCTCTCTAAGCTAGGCAACTACTTGAAATGGGCTTCAGGGAAATGAACTATCACTCCTTACACATTTCCTTTGAAGCTACTGTACCTTGCTCTCTCTTCTCATCCATTTGCATGATTCACTGAGCACTGGCACTACTGAGCGGCTTGGTATCAGAATAGCCCTTTTATAACTGGCTTGTGCTGTAATAAGCATAAACCTCTCCATCGGTAGGAACTCTATCCGGATGTGGCCAAGCCCAGTTCCAAAGCCTTTCCCGCAAACGGTACAGAAAGAAAACCCTCTTTGAGGAAGAGACCAGATTTGCTTAGTTTAGAGCCCATGGGAAGTCAACTCCCTTTATAAAAACCTGTCAGGGCCTAGAGCTGCTTATTTCAACAGGGTTCAAAAGGCAAAATGCGCAAAGTACATACCCTCAGAGCAGTCCTGCTGGGGGTAGGTTTCTCCTAGCAGCAGCTTTCCTTGCACTGCCCACCTTTTGTGCTTCTTGTAAATTAGGTGGAGCTGTCATGCCTCCTTCTCATGAGCCTTTGATGGAACAACTCTGGGTCCAAACTTCCCTTCTCCCAGGCAGACTTTGCCTCTTTTTATTAGGGTTTTGGGGGTACCTTGGCCATGAGGAGGCCTCCTTGGTGGGTTCCAAACAGTCTGTACTGCCCATACCACCTGGCTTTAAGTGTCCGTTTTTAGGTCTTTTTTCCCTGTTCCTCGGCCTCTCCCATCTAATGTGGAAGTGGTCAAATGCTGAGAAACTGCAGTTGTCTCATTAAAGTAGCTGTTTTCCAGGGTTTATTTCTCACCACCACATTTCATTGTCCTTGCAGCTTCAAAAGTTTATCCAGTGGCTGAAAGAGGCGGAAGAAGAGTCGTCGGAGGGCGACCAAGACTGACCTGGCAGCCTGACATGAGAAGAGGCACTCCTGCTGCCCTTAGAGGAGGAGGGAGGGAGGGATCTCTTACTGGCCAGGCTTTGCCTGGCAAGGTGGGCAGAGCAAGAGTGCATAGGTGCAGAGTGCATAGGTGTGGGACCTGAAATCAAAGTGACTGACAATCCCATTGTTAATTGTTGTGTATTCCCAGCCCCCCAAATGGCATCTTACGTGGGATAGTCACAGCACAGCGTGAGAACCTCAAGGGAAAAGCAGGAGACACTAACGTCCACGATCCCTCTGTGGCCTGTGTATGATGTATTATAAGCTATCCATTGGGAGCCACTCACTCCTAATGTAGCGGTGACAGGCATATACATATAAATTCCATGTAAATCTAACTCTTGGGGTTTGAACCATTTCTGGTTTGTGTAAATGTGGTCATATGACCTGGTTATTTGGAGTTACTGTTCATGGAGCTGTAAAGAGGCCAATGGACAATTCATTCCCACTCACTTGTGGAGAGCCCTTTCTGAAGGGCTGGTGGACAGACATGGCTTAGTCATCTAAGCACAGGACTGGGCCTCAGGAACTCCTTTGGCAGGGGAAGGCACAGTTGTCAGAGGAAGCCCAAGGCATTTGGCAGCCTGGAATGAGAAGAGGCAGTTGTGCTTTCTTTCGAGGAGGGAGAACCTCTTACCATCAGGCACACCTGGCTAGTTAAAATCTTGGGTCTGACCTGGACTTGCACTGTGATCGTAGCAAAACTATGTAATCTTTCTGTTTCCCTTTCTGTAAAGTGGGGCTAATCCTCACTCTCCCACCTCACCGGAGGGCTAGCTAATAACAGAAACACACTTAGGGAATAAAGTACTGTACAGAGGATTATGCCCCAGATATGACCTACCTTCTCTGTCCCCCTAGTGGCTGGTTCTTTGGGTGAGTTTTTATTTTAACTTAGAAAAGGGAACAGATGCCTGACACTTGTTAAGGCCCCTGGTTCAGGGATTTGCATGGTTCTGAGTGTGCAAGCTGCGACACCAGACGTTCTCTCGTCCTGCTTCCCATGCTAGCGACAGTTAGACACACTAGCTCAAGCCAGGGGGGTTATTTATTTATTTATTTTGTTAAACCCTAGCTTTGCTTTTCTCCTTTGGGGGGGAAACTATGGATCAGCAACTGCGGGATAATGCATGGGTGTGCAGCAGGAGTGAATGTGTGTCCTTTCCATCCATCCCTCTCCTGCACCCTCCTCCATGCTGGTAATAGAGCCTTCAGGAGCAGCATTCTTGTAAATGTCATTGTGCCACTTCCTGCCCCTGTTCTCCCCCAAGAATGGAGCAGATCAGCTGACCCTTAATAGGTAGGTCATATGTTAAGCATGCTGACCTTGCCACTGGCCTTTTATGGGGGGAGGTGTGGAATAAATTCTATGGGGGGATACATTGAAGCTGCCCACTCAGGATTTTTTTGGCCATTGGATGATGCCACATATTCTAAACGAGGGGACATTGATCTGTGGGGGAGGGGGTCAGAAAACGCTGCCTCTTAAAGATGGATGTTGGGAAGGGGGCAGACTTGAGCTCTCACGGTGTCGGTTGCCAGGACTGCATGGAGGCCCTCAGCTTCTGGCATGACGGAACCCAGTCTTGTAAATGTTGGGGAAAATAGCTGATATTTGAACTTTCTATATCTGCCAATATTTAATTCAGGGAGTGATTAAAAACATCCTGGTGTAAAGAATGACCTCTCTCTCCTCTGTTTACTTTGAATAAATGTCTCTGATCATGGCACAAGCCTGAGCAGGGCTCATACGTAGTCTAATGAAGAGACTTATGTAATAGCTCACCTAGCTAACTTTATTTCTCAACAGGATCCAAGTATGTATATAATATGCAGATATGAAATGGGGATAACTGTTGGACCATGTCCAGCAATACCACCCTCTAAGATAGGAGCTGGAGAACAGTTTACCTGATTGAAACTCCTGCACTTCAGATTTCTACTATCCGGCAGAGGCTCCCTTTTATTCAGAATTAACTTACAAAGATGCATCTTAAACTTCAATGAAACAATGCTGAGAGTTACAAAGTGTATATAACACTCTCCCCTCCTGATATTGTGTGATTTTGAAGGGCAGAGGGTGGCAACAAAGCCCTTTTTCAAAAGTGTTTGCAAGCCAGCTGCAAGATCCAGGCAGCTTAAACTCTCCCTGGATGTCTTGAGTATTTTTTTAATAATATAAAGATGGTTAAAAAAATGGGTTTTGCTTGTAATTGCATAACTAACTTGTTTTGAGCAGAGGATCTGGATTCTTTGTGCCAAGGAACAAACAATTCTGCTTTCTGTGTTCTGCATTCCACAGCCTGAATTCTCTGCGCTAAAGTGGCCAATTTCTTATTATTGTGAGCCTCTCTCTCACCCAGGGGTTATAGGCACATACAATAGAGATTTAGGTAGAATGTTCCTATGTTGCCAGACTTTGTCCTAATCCTTCAGGGCTCTGCTGAGTGGATTTTTTTGGTACTCTTGTCTCCAGGTCTGTGCTTTACAAAAAGGAGGCTTCTCAAAATAACATACTTGATCTCCTCCTCCAAGGAACAGCCATAGTGCAATACAGACACACTTACTTCTAAAGGGCAAATAATTATATATTTTATGAAAGAGAGTTAATTACAATGCTGAAGAGCAAACCAGGCTTAATGCTTTCTCTGGCCTACTATCACCTGGCATTGGCCGCTGTCGGAATACAGGATACTTGGCTAGATGGACCTTTGGTCTGACCCAGTTTGGCCGTTCTTATGATGCACTACAGTGGCGCAGCTGTGCCAGTTCAGCGTTTTCAGTGTACACCTGTGCATAGATGCTGGAACTAGAGGTGCTGCCACAGCTGGCTTGAAGGGGTTGCCATCATATTCAGGGTTTATAGTTTAGTTCAGTGCCTCTCAGCACCCCTTCTATAAAAATTGTTGTAGCACTCCCGGACCCATGGTTTATGTAGATTTAAGCCTACAGTCTTCAGCAATGATTCCTTTTGGAACTGGCTTGCTTAGCCTAGTCCCTTACTCCTCATTTCCTTGGCTCTGTGGTCTTTACTCCCATGCATTGAGTGAATCATGCTTAACAAGACTTTTGCAAGCAATTAAGTCGGTGTTTATCAGCTGGGAGCATTTAATCACTTATCCCATTTTTAAAAAGCAGCTGCAGTAATGAGTCTGTTAGTGATATGAGTTGTAGGATTGGAGCAATGGCGCTGGAACAGCGTTACAACTCCAGAGTGCATACAGCCTCATTTCTCCATTCAACCTTACATGGCCTGTCAGCACCTACCTTACCCTTGAGGCGCCTACCACTAGAGAATACCGTGAAAAGCTGCTCTTTCAGCAACAGCAGCCCCCCACTAATGCAGTGGAAGCTCCATTGTGTTGTGCTGCAGCCTTACTCGCAGAAAAGAGTGCCAGCCACCCCCACCCACCTGAAGGCACCCAGGAAAATCTTTAGCATTAGCTCCCTGTATGGTCCCAGGGCATCACCTGCTGGACAGGCAGGAACTGAAGTTGCACCATAGGGGGATACTAACACATTGTTAGAGCAGACCTACACATGTCCAAGAGCATTACACCACCAGGAGAGATAGTTATGCTACATCCTTGAATATCTTCGAGGCATTAACACTGCATTAGGAGGACAGGTACAGTGGATCCCTCAGATGAGATGGCACTCTCAGACGAGAAGGGGCACATTAACCTAGACCATTGTACAGCTGGACTGTGGGCAAGATCCCTGTGGAGTCCGACCATGCCTCTGCCAGTCACTGTTCTGCATGAAGGGCCATTGTGTCTACAGAAAGAACTCCAGACCCAAGGCTGAAGTGAAAACCACCCATTCCCCTCTTCATGCCTCCTATAGCTGCTGCTTATTTGCCAACTTTTCCTGCTCTCTGCTTAGGTCTCCAGCTAAAGATTAGATTGATCTACATCACTCCAGGTTGTGAAAAATGTCCTGTGCAATGTAGTTAACCCCCTAGCCCCCATTGTAGACGTAGCTAGGTCGACGGAAGAATTCGTTCATCAGCCTAGCTACTGGCCCTCAGAGAGGTGGATGGACCGAAAACCCTCTTCCGTCAACATAGGAGACATCTATACTCCAGTGGCACAGGTGCACTTCCATAGTTATGCTGCTATAGGTGTAGTACCCCTCAGTGTCTATTCTTTAAGGCTTTTTGTTTGGTTGTTTTTGGCGGGGGTGAGGGGGGTTCAACTGAATTTCAGGCTTAGATTCCCAGCCAAGTGAGTGCAGCTCCCTGCCAGCAGCACTGCCTGAGCGACCCAGGCCGTCGGCAACAGCCACAAGACTTGTCAGCATTGCCTGGAAATGATAAAGTGGGGATTCCACCCTGGCTGTCTGGGAACCCAAGGAATCTGTTCCAAGGGGAACAGCTTATCCTCCTGACACGAGATTCTGGCCCTGATGGTGGGCGATTTTTCAGAGTCTAGTCTGTGCTGAGCCCTTGCCAGTAGGATGCTTTCTCATGGCTTTACTGTTCTGCCTACAGCACCCCCATGTGCAGGTGCTAGACAGTGTAACAGAATCCCTATCCAGTAGAACTGGCTAAATCTCCCAGCAGCTCCCATACAACTTGGCTCTTCAGTCATGAGACCATTTCTCAAAGGGATTACATTAGTCATATAGATAAAAGGAGGTCTCAGGTAGGAAGAAGCTTTCCTAACCAGCCATCAACTTGCACATGTTTGATGAGGAATCTACTGCTGGGACAGTTTTCCCTGCAGCTCTCAGGGGCACTAATGGGGAAAAGAGGAACAAGAAATCCAAGATCACAAGGAGTGTGGGGAAGCAAATAAGGGAGTGGAGGTGTTAGAGAGGCTGAGGGAGTCTGAGGTGGGGAGTGTTAGAACTAGGGGGCACATGATTGCAAGGGATTGAGATTGTAAAAGGCTGGGGTGGATGGGTGAGAAAGGGGATAGGGGTCAAAGGGAGGGTTGGGAGAGCCCAGGGTCCATGCATGCATGTGGGGCTTTGTTTGTAGGAGAGACTAGAGTCATAGTTAGGTGACCCTTGGCAGGGGCTGGGGTTGGAGAGAAGCTGGGGTGGGGGAGGGAGTCCCTGTGTGGAGAGAGGGGTTGAGGCCTACAGGGGAGCCCTGAGAGCAGGTTAGATGAACTGTAGGTGTGTGTTCAGGCTGTCCTGGAGCCCTGTTGGGAGTGGGGGCAGCTGGTGGGTGTCAGGAAGCCGGGACTGGAGGGAAGTATGTGTGTTCAGGAGTGGGGGCTGTCCTGGAGCCCTCTGGGGGGCAGCTGGATGTAAGGGAGGGGGTTGTATGGAAGCCAGGGCTGAGGATGTGTGTCTTGGGAGAAGGCTGTCCTGGGGGTTATCGAAGGGGGCTGTAGGGGAGATGGATGGAGCTCTGTGTATTTGGGGGTGCAGGGAGCTGGTGGATGTAGTAGGGGGCTGCTGGGAAGACTGGGCTGGGGGAGCTGTGTGTATTCAGGAGTCAGGGCTGTCCCAGAGTCCCGGGGGGGTCAAGCTGTCTGGAGAAGCTCTCAAAAATGGGTGCCAACCTCAAGGCAGACTGTCAAAAAACGGGACACAAACCCCAAATTGGTTGTGTGCTCTATAATTAGATTTCACCCACCAAGTAACAAGTATGAACTCTGCAAGCACTAGAACCACCTTCCCATGGAGTCACACACAGGGCAGACACTCTGGTCTACTCTTGCCACCCAGACAAGGCCGCCTCTGTGATAGATGGTCCCTTTTACCCAAACTCACAGTAATATTCAGGTTACTCCCAATCCCAAAGGATCAGTCGCTTACCCTAAATCAACTGCACCCCAGATCTCTCACCAAAGACAACACGGGTAATCAATCCTGTAATAGTTCATAAATCTTTAGTTCAATTCAGAAAAGAAATTAGTTCTTTACAAGATTCAAGCAGGTGAATGTAACACACAGTTAGTCTTAGGTTCCAAAAGGTGATAGTAACTGCTATATATGCAAGCTCTCTATGTTCTTTAGGGCTAACCCAAACTAAACAGCTTGGGGATCCCTTGCTCATACTTAGAAATATGACCCTTTGTGAATGCCAAGCAGCATAGGGTATGATCATTTCTCTTTAACAGGGATTTTTATTCCCTTCCCCCAGCGTTCAAGCTGTGAAAGGATCAGGGCTTGGGCACCATACCCTCTTCATGGGTGTGAAGGAAGCAAACAACAAAGTCTTTTGTCCACTGATGTCCCACAATGGTTTGTCTGGCGTCTATAGGCCTTCTTTTATTGGGGAGGAGGCGGTAAGGTAAATTAGTATTCAACACTTAATGCTTCTCCCCTGACTGGGGGTTTGACAGTTTTAGCGAATACTTAAATATTACCTTATAACGGGGTGAAGATGTTACTAGTAAGATTAAGTAAGCAGCGTACAAGCATTGAATAAAGTCTGAACATTAAACACATTCTTATCTCTCTTTTAACAATGGTAACGCACAGATGAGCCAGACTGGTACCCAGCTATGCATTTGTAAATGTTCAGTGGGGCCCAGGGGCCTTAGCAGGAGTTGGCACCTGGTCTGCCAGCATTACAGAGGAGCTGGTGGGTGTAGGAGGGTGCTGTAGGGAAGCCAGGGCTGGGGGGAAGCTGTGTGTATTCAGGGGTAGGGACTGTGCTGGACCCCTGGGGGTGGGGAACTGGTGGGTGTAGGGTGGTCTGTAGGGAAGTTGGGACTGTA